TCAGGTATCATTTTGTGCGAGATGTCATAGAGGAAGGTGATATTTCTCTCATGAAGGTGCACACGAATGAGAATCCAGCAGACATGTTGACTAAGGTGGTGACGGGTAGCAAGTTTAAGCATTGCTTGGACTTGCTTCATATCAGCCCGTATTGATTTGCCCAAGAGGGCATGGCCCTTCGGGGCAGTGATGGGGTGAGGTGGAGACTATGTTGGAGAACAATAGCAGAACTACTGTTAGCTTGATCCCGGTGAAGGGTACGTAGGCTGCCGCGGTATAGTGTCGCAACTGGTTTTGGTCTGGTGATGTTCGCGGTGTTCTTCTGGTGTTCGTCCAAAATTTGAGGTTTATCAAATAATGTACGAGGTGGAGAATTGTGAGTGGGGGCCACCCACGTGCCTATGTGATAAGATAAGGCAAGTTCACGCGGAAACAAAACGGAAAAGCTGGGCACGTGAAAAAATCAAAACAGCAATCATTCACGCGTTTTTTGATTCCCATTCACGTGTTTGCTGTTCACCCGAGATCAACTCTCCTATAAATACCTATGACTGCTAGGGTTTTCTTGTGTGGGAAAAGCTGCGGTGAAAAAAAAAAGCTGTGTGGGAACAAAAGGCTAAAGGGAACAGCGGCTTGGTGAAAAGTTGCTGGAAATCGCAGTTTTCTTTTGGCGGCTGAGCAGAGGAAGAAAAAGAGTACTTGTAGCAGTTGTTGAGAGAGAAAAAGAGAGATCTTGAGGAGAGAGAAAATATGGTTTTACAAAAGAGAGGTCAATTTCTTTTGGGTAAAAATTAGATCTTTTTCTTTGAGACGAGCTTGTGAATTGTACAAGTCGTCGGTGTTCTTCTCATAGTGGAATCTCCCCTCACCCCTCCCGTGGACGTAGGCAAGTTTGCCGAACCACGTAAATCTCGTATTTGTATTGTCATAACTATTTGTATTACTTGCAGGTGCCCTCGATAGTTCAGTCCTTGCACTGATGAGAGGAAGAGTGGATATCTCACTTCGCTGAGATATTTCGCTACTGAGTCTAGGTTTCCTTCGCGAAACACAGATATCGAGTTTGACTTGTACTTTTGTGAAAACAAAAGCCAGGGCTCTCTCTCAGGACATATCGCTTCCGCGGCGGTGGGCGTGACTCTGCGTCCAACAATTCTATTCATACTGAGACTTAACATGTTATTGGATAAAATAGATACATTTCATATAATTTAAATAATTTACTTATTTCAGTTCGTAGAAAAATCTAAAAGACATATGCTAGCTAGCATCTAAAAGTTTTTGGACTTTGTAAAAAATATTCTCCAAACTTTTAAATTACAAAAACACCCCTACAAATTCAAAATTTTATTAAAGCATCTTAAAAATTATAAATTTTACTTATCTCAATTCAGTGAGAAATCTGAAAAATACATGCTAACTAGAAAATAAAAGTTTTTTAACTTTGGAGAAAATATCTTGTAAGTTTTAAAAATTACAAAAATATCCCTAAAATTTTAAAATTTATAAAAAACACCTTGAAAATGTCAAACTTATAAACATATTAAAAACCTAAAAATAACACAAAGAACCCCCAAAAATTTATAGAATTTATAATATACACTCTGAACTTTTTATAAATTACAAAATAAAACCATCAAAATTATAAAATTTATAAAATCCTGATAATTTCTGACCTAACAATACATTAAAAATATAGGAATTATAAATATTTTTTACATAATTTATAATTTATAAAAAAACCTTAAAGTTTTAAAAATTACAAACAAATATTTAAAATTCAAAATTTACAAAAACACACTAAAAATTTCAAATTCATTAGTAAATTGTAAGCATAGGAAATATTAATAGTCTATAAAGAATTTACAATCTGTAGAAAATTCCTATAAGTTAAAAAAATTACAAAAGTCCTTAAAGTTTATAATTTTTAAAAAAACTCTATAGAATTTCTAACCTATAGACACTAAAATAAATATGCAAAATACTAACAACCCCTAGAAAATTTAAATTTTGTAAAAATTATCATACACATTTTAAAAGTATAGATTTAGGAAAAACTTTTTATGGTAAATATTACTCATAACTTTTTTGAAAATAACATAACTAATTAAAAATCTATTAAACTTGAAATTTATTAAAAAAAAACCCTTAAAGTTTAGTACATTGCAAATTATCCCTACAAAGTTTGAAAATTTTCAATAATTTTTTTATAATTCATTGATTTCAATGTAATGTTTAATAGTTTTACATATTAATAAATTATAAATTTTAGAGTGATTTTTTAAACTTTTTAAAAGTTTTGAGGTTGTTTATTTTGTAGTTTTCTAAATTTTTATTGTGTTTTCAGTGTAATGCACATATACATCAATTAATGATGACATTGAACAATAAGTCGTTCTTAAGATTATTAGACCATAGTTAAGTATACACATCACTATTTCTAGACAGTATAGTTTATATATGCAAAAATTTTCAGACAATCTATGTAGTGGTTAAAAAGATTTTGACTTTAATGTACTATTTTTTTACAAATTATATTTAATGTGAACCCACCATATAATTTTGACTGTGATCATTATAATTTTAATATGTTTGATTGATTGACTATATACGTATATAGACCATAGATTACTTTACTTTCTCACATGAACTATCATTTGGTGCTTAATAATAAATTATTATTTTTAAATTCAATATGAAGAGGAGCTCTAATAACATTTATTTATTTACTTACAACATAATACAATCTCAATTATTATTTTTTGCTGGAGATTTATCCCATAGTTACGTGTATCAAATTAGTAACTAAAATAATAATTATTTATGTTTAAATTAGGATGATTGTAGTTGGTCACTCACTATGAATTTTTTATGAAGATATATACCTTACTTTCTATAGCTATTTGCACTATCCATGTATATTTTATAAATTAATTTGACATATTAAATTACTTTTCTTTGTAGAAATTTCTTCTTTGACTTTTAGACCGTGTAATCACTATATCACCATTCTAACATTGAAAGGACTTCACTCTAAATGGCTTCTAGCCAATGTTTGAGTTGCACTGAAGTATATATTATTGTTCCTATGTGTATATATATATTTTTTTAAAAAATATGTCAACACTTTTTAAATAGAAGAGAATATTCTAACCTCTGATATTATAAAAATTAAATATGACCAATTGAATGATTAGTAAAAGAGAACTTACATCAGAAAAGTGTGAATAATAAGATAAAGAGGAAAGATAATGGCATTGCCAATTGTACTACAAATAATAAACTATAATGTAAAATTAACCTATTTTGTGGAGCCCAACTACTGGCTATAAGCATCGAGATTTTCATATATATACTTTATAATTTATTTAAAAGGGTCATATAATCTTATATAATAAAATTAATTTTATATTGAATAGTAATATCCTTATAATAATATCATTATTAGAAAAAATTCTTCACGAATCAATATGCTCTTTACGGTATATAAGTTATGTACTCTAAATTTTTGTGTATTTTATAGAGCAAAAACGTTGAATACGAGCCTCTAACATGTTGCTCTCACAACAACAAAGTCCACTTAGGAGATATGGATATTCTAGATGAGTTATGTATCATATATATAATACAATTGTCCTAGACAAGTGAGTTATATTAACATTTTTTATTCACATCATTTGGGGTAAGATTTAATAGGGACCTTGTATCAAAAAAAGAAAAAGAAATTGTTATATTTAGAGCACATGCGAAATATATCATAATCTCCTTGTTCTAATTTCGTAAGAAAATAATTCTTCATACTTTTAATTTTACTTCTATGATACATAGAATGAGCTATAAAATTGAATGAGAATATTAGATAATATAAATATGAGCGAAACATCAACAAAAAGTTAATATGAATATAAGTCAAACCACAACTAAAAGTTTAAGTGACATATTGCAAATAAATTCATATGCAAAATTCTTTTACGAATTGAATGATCACCTATCTTTTGAAGACTTTACTATACTAATAAATAGAGATGTTGTACTAAATTAATGTGTTTATAACTCACAAATAGTAGATCACTTAGCCACAGTCTAGATTGAAGAAAAAATATTTTACTTAAGAGAATTTAGTGAGTTGATGATCAATCTCACAAAAAACTTTATTTTATTTTTTATTTTTACTCTATTTTTATCAATTTAAATAATCATGATATTCAACCACGTGCATTGTACGTGCATCTCAACAAGTTATATTCAAAACCGCACCCGACTGAGGCCAATCACTACAGTCGGATTGGATTTAGTTATGTTAAGTTACTAAAATTTTAGGAAGAAAATACAAAACAAAACTATTACTCCTTCAAGCCATTCGCTCATCTCATATCCATTAGCTTTAAGAATGTATTTGGCATTATTGTCCAGAAAAATCCTGTGGAATACGGAGGAGAGAGAAGAGATAAGAAGTTAAGAGAATTTACTTTCTCTAAATTTCATTTCAATTTGATAATGAACAATTTTAATATTATTCCCAGTGAACTTAGGGGAACTAGAAGGAACGCTTTAACCTGTAAAGAATTTCTAAAGATGATGAATGGTTTCACTTAAATTTTCTCCTCTCTAAATTTCTTTAATCTAAGCACGCCTTAAAAAAGCATAAGCTTTCGACAATTATGTTGATAGCGTGAATTCAGTTATTCTTGCTTTAAATATTCAAAAACTAAATCTTTTTCTAAAAATTGAACTGAATCACCAAAAATTGATTGGTTTGATCTATTCGGTTACAACGAAATGTGCTTGGTTCATTTCAAACCCGAATTCTATTAGACCCGACTCGGTGCAAACCGGTTGATGGGATTTGATGACTATGACGAGACTCGTGGTCCCGGTGCACCGTGAACCTCTCCCTACGCGCGAAATTCCCGTATCAGATTAAATCCTAACCGTACATTCTCCCTAAACTTTTTATCTTCCCCTCTCCAAAGAGTTCTATTCTCCGCTTATTAATTCTTTGTGCATATATCTCATAATAATTTCATAAAAAGCCCTCGCGTCCTCTAGGGTTCCCCCCTCCGCTCTCTCGTGTTTTTTTTTTCCTCTCCCTGGAAAGCATCAAAGCAAGATCTCTGCTCGATAACTTGGATGAAAGCGTTACTTGTCTGAGATTTTAGGTGAGTACTCCCATTGATCGTTTTATTTGCTTAGATTAAGCTGTTTATTTCACTGGAACACAATGTAGCTACTTTAATTCATTGCTTTAATTACAGTAGCAATTTACATCAGTTTACATCCTTGTATTCTATGATTTTCGTACCTATCTATATAATTTTGAGCAAGGCTTCGCTGATAATTTACTCCCTTCACTAAAAGACGAGATCTTTATAGAAATTCGACCTGCGTACTTAAAAAAAATGCAAAGGGTTTGTGAAGAGGGTGAAGACGAGAAGCTTTGCTCCTTTTCGAATGTCAGGACCCTCTTGGCAAGTAGGCTGCTTGAAGGAGTTCCTGTGACATACATCTTTAAGAAGCACAAGGTAAGGCTGGCTTTCCTTTAGATTTTATTGATGGTTTTGTATACTAAAAAGGGATTTTTTTTAAAAAGGAAGACCTTATTTGCTAAATAATTAGCAAAATTGACCATTTTGCTAATTATTTAGTAAAATCGACCTCTTTTGGGCTAACATGCCAAAAAGAGGTCGATTTTAAAATACAGCATGCTCGAAACATACGGGACTAGTAGTCCCGTATGTTCTAAAACCCCAAACAAAACATACAGGACTAGTAGTCCCGTATGTATTGTTTGTGCTAACATAAAAACCCTCCCCCGGCTCTCTACCTCCCTCTCAAGAGAAAAGTCGGTCCTTTTCCGCTAAAAAAAACCAAAGCAAAGATTCTCTCTCCTCGCTCCTCTCTCTAGAACTCATCGGCGACCGTCATCGCCATGACCGCCGCCTCCACAAGAATGTATGATATTCTTTTGAAGTTTATGCAAATCTATTTAAAGATTTTCCCTCCTCGCACATTGTTGTAAAGAGGTTTTTGTGCTACTTATGGTAACTTGTGCTTTTTCTTTTGAATATAGCTTATAAATTGTGCTTTCTTGTTCATTAGATATATTCATAGTTTAATTCTCAACTAATTACTTGGTTCATATGCACTTTAAGTTTAAAACTGCTAACTTATCTAATGCTTTCAATGTTTCTTATCCTTTTAATTTTTTATATCTATTAAGCATTTTTTTATATTCTTTCATTAATAATTATGTTAAATTATCAAACTTTGTTTATCTTCTTTTTGATTAATCACCAATCAGTTCTTTATTCCTATCAACTTTTGCCTATGAAGATTAACTAATAAAATATATTGACTATCTATCTTCTATTCATTGAGTAAATTAGAATACATAAACCTATATATACTATATTTGATTGAATTTTAAAAAAGTTTTGATTTCTTATATGGAATCTAGATTAATTTGTCTCTTGATTGAGATTCCCTATTGAATTAAAAATTGACTTATACAATTCCTATGAATTGAGCTACTCGAACAATATCTTTATATCGGTTATGATTCCATCATATTATTATTACTTTTGTAATTTGGTATCTAATAATAATTTTTACTATTCCAACAAGATACTAGATATTTAATATTAATTTTTATTTTAGTAGCCTTTGTAACTTTTGTACATGATATATTGAGAATCAATATACCATAAGTAAATATTGTATTGTAAGTAAATATTTAAGAATCAAAATCTATACAATATACTAAATTAATACCTTGAGATGCCACATGCCAAAATTCTAAAGCAATTATAACATGTCAAAATTTAAGAGCATAAGCTATATGTACAATTCTATTATGTTCCAAAAAAACGTTTCATTCCTCATCTAGCAATTGAATGTTCATTTACATCACTTCTATGTTTTTTTCTTCATGTGTGTTTCCCTTAACGTTTCATCTTTCCCATTTAAGAAAAAAGAGATTTTTTTTAAAAAAGACCTTTTTTGCTAAATAATTAGCAAAATCGACCATTTTGCTAATTATTTAGTAAAATCAACCTCTTTTTGGCCAACAAGCCAAAAAGATGTCGATTTTAAAAAACAACCTACTCGAAACATACGGTACTAGTAGTCTCGTATGCTAAAACTCCAACCAAAACATACGAGACTAGTAGTTCCGCATGTATTATTTGTACTAACATAAAAACCCTCCACCCGCCTCCATTTCTCCCATGTCTCAAACACCTCAATCCCTAAATCCCACCCCTTTACCGCCATAAAAATAAAATCTTTTTCCTACCCCCTGCGATCAGCAAACCCCAACCTCTCCCAATCCCTCTCCATCGAAAACGGAGACAATAACAACAACATCGGCGGTGGAGGGTTCGGCAAAGGCAGCAGAGGAAGCGGCAGACACAACAATGGGACCGCGATTTCGAATGGGTTGGTGGCAATGAAGCCTTGGATCTTGGGGGCTTGCTTCCAGGCGTTGCGTCTTGCTGCCTTGGATCTCACCGACAGGGATGTACATGAAGCCCAACTGAGATCCGCGATAGAGGAGGACGACGGTGGAGTCGTAGTGGGAGAAGGCGGCACGGTTGGGGATGAGGATGGAGGAGGGCTGGACGAAGGTGGTGGAGTTGAGGTGGACGGAGGTGACGCTGAGGGTCGGGTTGAGGGGGCGGAAGACGAGGAAGAGGATGAGGGAGGGAGAGAGTCGGGGGAGGGTTTTTATGCTAGCACAAACATTACATACGAGACTACTAGTCCCGTATGTTTTGTTTGGGGTTTTAGAACATACGGTATTACTAGTCCCGTATGTTTCGAGCAGACTGTTTTTAAAAATCGACCTCTTAGCCAAAAAGAGGTCGATTTTACTAAATAATTAGCAAAATGGTTGATTTTGTTAATTATTGAGCAAAAAAGGTCTTTTTTTTTAAAAGTCCCTACTAAAAAAGAGGGTGCTACTCAAATTCTGAACATCCCGAATCCAAATATAGCATCATTATTATATAATTTAATACTCATCCCTTTTTTAATGTTGTGCATTTATTATATGTTAGGCTGAGCTCCATGGTTTCATTAAGGGCGATGGATATAGATGTGGATGTTCCGTCTGTGATTACAAACAAGTAGGTTATATTCATTTATTTGTTCTGAATCACTTCTCATATTGTTGTCATGTATATTATGCTTACATTAGTAATAATTTTAGAATTTTAACGATATTAAAGATGGAACCCAATTTCACTTTTTAAAACACATTGTTAAAGTCAACTGACAAGCTTAGTTTGATAAATTGCTCGTCCGACAGGTAGTCAGCGCAGACGAGTTTGAGAAGCATGCAGGTGTCACATCAAGCCATGCAAATAATCACATATATTTGGCGAATGGGAAGTCACTTCATGAAGTTGTTAAAGACCTGATTGGGGTGCCACTTGAATCAGTGCATGAAGAGTTGAAAGCCATTGTTGAGATGGATCCAAACATCTATGATGCTTCTAAAGATGGTATTATAGAGTCGAATTTATTTATAGTTTTTCCTGGAAATTCATTTGTGATGCATTATTTTCTTTTTAAATTACGCAGAATCAGCTCAAGCATCAGGTTGCGAAGTTAAGCATATAAGCCATGAAGAGCAACAAACTAGAGTTGATGCTATGCCAAGTCAGATGTTATCCTCCAAGTTCCTTAGTGAGCCAAGATTATGCAATGATATGGAAGCTTCAAATGATTGTCAAACCAATTCAAGCTTACATGATGATTGTGAAAGTGGTATAGTGAAATACGTCAACCAACTTTCTTAGTTTAGTGTAAATCCTGGTGAGGAAATTCACCATTGATTTTGACCTCTTTAATTCTATCGAGGTTCCTATTCAACAGTGAGCTGTGAAGCAGATAGTACGCCAATCAACGGAGTTAAACAAAATGGAACAGATGGCATTACAAGGCAGGAGGTCTCAACAATGTTCATTCATCAGCTTCCTCTGAATTTAAGGTACAATTATCCTCTGAATTTAAGGTACAATTATCTTTAGTTGATACTAGGATCCTATTTTAGCACAATCCATCTTCGCTCAAACAAACTAAAGCTAAAAACACACGAATAATCAAATTAGTGAGACACATGCCCCCTCCTACATAACCTATGGAAGGGTAAAAAACCAGGAGTAACATATTTCGAACTTAAAAAGAGATGAGAACAAAAAATGTTTGCAATCTTAACTGAAACTTATTAGAACCATGAAAACTGCTGACCCGGTGGATTAAAGATAGATTCAAACCCGATCGTCTTAGGGCATGTTGGCTAATACTTATTTTATGAAACCTTATAAGTTACTTATTACTTATTTTTACTTATTTTTTTAGAAAATTTCCTTATATAAGTGCCAAAAGAATAAGTTGGAAAATCCTAACTTATTTTTTTCCTACTTATAAGTGAAAAATAAGTAAACAAATAAAAAATTTACCAAGCATGATGTTGGGTAAAGTATGGAAAAATGCACTTATTAGTTAAAATAGTTAAAATAAGTCATTCCCCAAGCATGCTCTCAAGGTTATGCCTGATACATATCGCTCTAATCTGACGTAATATTGTGTGACATAATATTATTGAGAAGTATTTGAAATATTTGTTTTTGCTATGAGCACATGCATGGCTCATGGCAACAAGTAATATGACTGGCATGAGAGTTGATATACTATTAATTTTATTCTAGCATTGTGAATGCTCGCAAAGCTTCATACACTATATCCAAAATGACTTATCAAACTTCGTGTTATCTCATCCTATCTTTCATCCTGAACTCTGTTGTTCTGGCCACAGTATTCAAAATCGGATTATCCATTGGTCATTAATGATCATTCTTCCAGATGATCCATCTCAAATTGGAAGGAGTTAGAAACAAATTGAGGGTTATCAAAGTTTATATTTGCTGCTCTTTCTAATCACTTTACCCTCTCAGTATCGTTCAGAAGACAACTCAAGAAGAACCAGCACTTAGCACTCCTCCAAGAAACGAAAAAAACAGACCCTACCAAGAATCTGATCAACCCTCTCCAAGGAACAAGAACGTATTAGACCCCTGTAGTCTCTCACAGAACATGGTAACTGAGTTCTCTCCGGAAGTTCCTAAACATCAGAAGATAGAAACTGAGTTCTTGAAGAAAAATCTTGATGTTAGAAGCTTGCTTAGAACTGGATTGCTTAGTGGACGAAAGGTGAAGTACATGAAAGACCAGGCGTTTATTGCTATTGTTTGGTTCAATTGGTGGATCTCTCCGATATGGGTGTTTTGTTATATTTGAATTAGGAATATTAGCAAAATCAGTCTGTCACTTGCTTTATTTCACATATATGCCACTATTTTTTCCTTGAAGAAATCATATATGCATTTATTGTGTAGTTTAAAGAACTATTGTTTTGGGTTGTTTCACGTGATTCTTTGATCCTAAGGAAGTTCTCTTGGAAGCGTTATTTTGTTGCTATCCATGTTTATACTTTTCACATAGGTTACTATTCAACAAATGACAACAAATCTTATGTATTAGTGAAGTTAGCCAACCAACTTCCTAAAGGAGCTAAGAAACTTCTGTCTTTTCTTTTCTTAGAGAAATACTTGTGTTTCAAAATACTTGTGTTTCTTTTTCAACCTCTTTTGCGATCTTTTTCAGGTTTGTTTATTACTTTCAATTATAACAAGCAAAACATAGGATTTATTGTCTTTTTGTGTATTTGTATTCTTTATAGTGCATGGCTTTTAGGGAATATCGATCTCTCTACTTTTTTTATTGCATTTTAAAATACTTTGTTTATTAAAGTTAATAATCTTTGGGAAAACTAAGATGAAAGGTTCTTAATTCTACTTTATCTGTTTATCTAAATATGATTTTACTAAGAAAAAAGAGTACTTGGTCTGGTGCACAATTTATTCCTACGTATTTTGTAGTTGCTTAAAGTTTTGTTTTTTATTGGCTTTTATTGTAGTTAATGTAGAAATGGAAGCTTTCTTAATTTCTATAGTCCTTTATTTGTAAAATTATCTATTACTAGACTTGTTCTTTGTTAGGTTTCACTAGTTTGGGAATCTATATAGAAGGTTCTTGCTTTTTAATGCCTTTGATTATTTCACGATATGCATTTACCGGAACACTTGTTTTGTTGTTTTCTTTATTTTATTATTATTTTTCCTGATTTTTGTTTGTCTCTAATTGTATCCAGGCAGAGCTTGATGGGCTTATACATGATGAGGGCTATCTATGTGGGTGTTTGTCGTGCAACTATAAAAAGGTATGAAAGTTATTATGAGCACAACCGTTTTTTCCTTCTCCTTTTGCATGGAAAATGGTGGAACATCATTGTAATAGAGAATGAGAGAGAATCGATTGTAGTTCTTTTCCTCTATCATCTTCACAATTTCAAATAGGTCAAGACGTTTAGTGCTTGAATTTTCTAACTATGTCTGTTTTCCCTTTTTAATAAATAAACAAAATCAATTACTATTCCTCGTCATAACAAAGCATCCCAAAACATTGCAAGCAACTTTTTTGATTCTTATGAATGATTTCTATGAGATTTTTTTGGCATAAAGCAGTGCATACATTTCCCTTAAAAAAAGGAAGAAAGATAGAATTTCCTGGTAATTTCAGGTGACGGGTTCTACTATTGGTCTGTCAAGGACTTTTAGCCATTCAATAATGATTTGAGTTTAACAATGCAGGTTGTCTCTGCTCTCAAGTTTGAGATACATGCAGGGGCAGTGTCAAAAAATCAAAATAATTACATTTACTTGGAGAATGGAATATCTATATGTGCATTAGTGAAAAAGTTGAATAATGCTCCTAAAGATTCACTACGTGAACTGATTGAGAAAGAGATTCCTTGTCCAGATAAGGACCCATTAAGCAATCAGAATGGTAATGAATTATTGATCATTTCCTGATTATTCTTAGGAATTCTTGTTTGTATATTTTAGTTTCCATTAAAAACATGCTATGTTAATCTTATGCATTATTTTATGCAATGTAGGATCATTTCAAACAGCAAGTATCGCACAGTCAAAAAATAGTGAAGAAAATCAATTGACTCAGACAATAGAGATTCAGATTGACCCTCACTTAGTTGAAGAGTGAGTATTTCTCTCATAATTGGTCATTTGCAGGACTCCCTTCATTACTATGTAAATTATAAATTGGTACTGATCTTATGGATTTCCTGATGTTTTTATTTTTAATGCTCTGCTCAGCCAATGACAAAAAGTTATATGTACACTGAGCCTTGGCTTATATATGAAACTTCTCTTTTTAATCCTTGGTAACCTGAAGAATTGTATGAACCTTTGGTCGACGAGGAGATAGAGAATCAACATCTTGAATAACCAGCAATTGTATGGTAAAAAATGTTCCGTACATTTTTAGTATTTTTCATCTAAAGCATTGGATGTGCTAACACAGACCATTAGAATAAAATTCAAACTTATTATCTTGCATTTGAACTGAATTTGGATGTGGATTTATATTTGCATTCAGATTAGTTCCAAATCTGATCTTCAATTGGGCTTTAATTCCAAATAAATATTTTAGAAGTTTGTGAGTATGGTTAAGACAAATAAGATGAGATAATGAGTGCAATCTAGATGGAGAATATTTGGAGATGCTGACGGATCCACTTCTATATAAGGAAACTAGTCTGGTAACACGGGAGAACCACTAAACAACCATTCTACCAATCAACCACGACCCTGTTCTTTTGTTTTTTTTTTGTTTTGTAAGTGCTTCCCTTCTTTTTAATTTAAGAAGCAAAAAAATGTGAGCATTCTTTTGCTTTTAAGTATTCGATTTAAGATATTCAAGATAAAGGGAGCATTTGTACTATTGGAGCATTTTATATTTTATTATTATTATAGAACTATTTAAGCTTATTTTTTGTTTTTGATGTAAGATCAAGCTAATTTCTATAGGAACAAGAATTTCACAGTGAAGAAATCCACCATGACATTAGCTTATGACTTAGATTAGTAAGTTGATATCAATTACTTCATTCCTTGCTAATCTATTCTATTTTAACTCAAAATAGTTTGCTTAAGGATTGATGATCAACATAATAAATTACTCTATGGTTGAAAATCTGAGTGGTGCTTGTTTATTTTTCCTCATAAATATCCTCCATAAATGTCTTTTTATGTCCTTTTTGCCTGATAAATGTTCCACGAGGCAAATCTGTCAGTCAAACAAAATGAGACTCGACAAAGTTCACTTTTGGAAATAAACTTATCCTTGACTTCTCCTTATTTTTTCTGGTTTTGATTCTTGTTCAGTAGATTATTTTATCACTATCAGAAGCAAGAGTAAGTGATTCTAGAAATTTCAACATCTGAAAGGAAAATATGAAGAAATTTCTTTATTAACTATCAATCTTTTTTGAGCCACAGCTTTAACAATTGTCGTGGTGAAGGTAAAAGCAAATAACTATGCGGTTATGCTAAAAGATTTCATGTTCATTTCTTGAGATATTTTCTCCTAATGAAATTTAAACATATTTAGGAATCAATTAAATTATCTGCGCTATTGTATCTTTATTTTGCAATAGCTCTTGTGGAGCAGCTATCAAAGGAAGTTTTGATGCACTGTCGTGTGTTGGTGTCAACTCTTTAACACATGCTACAGAGTGCAAAGTTAAACCAGCTTTAAATATTGGTAATAATGCTACCATACCCTTGTCGGCTACAGAAGGCATCCAACCAGGATCAGATATTTTGATGGACAGTTCACCTATTATAGTCAAGAGTTCCATGTTGGAAAATAAAACAGAGAGGGAAATGTGAGGAGATTTACTCATTTCAATATGCTTAAATCCTTTTCATTTTGTAATTATTAACGAGGTTTCTGTGACTAGCTTTTTTATTTTGATTTGTATCCATTTTTTCAAATCACACTTTAGAATGGTTGGTCAATAATTTTGCTTTTCCGTATGCATTTTACCCTCTCCTAATCAGTTGTCATGTGCTAGATCATTCTTATATCAGGAATTTGTCAAATCCTCTGATATGTTCTTTTTTTAATCTATATGTTCAGATTATCGGATTCAACTTCAGAAGGTTGTAAGTCTGCACCTTCAAGTATCAATGTTATGTTTGATTCCCCACTGCCACATATAGAAGGAAACTCATCATATACTGATGTTAACATTAGTCCTTTGGAGTCGGCTAAAGTGAATATCAGTCCAGGTTCAAATATAGCACTACATGGACAGAAGAGTTCTGTACTGGAAACTAGATACGAAAACAGAAAAAGGTCAGGAAAGTATTATATATTTCTGTAATCATCTCCCTATCAGTTTAAGAGATTATAACATTTAAATCATAACTTTGGATCCAAAAATTGAATAAGTCAGTAGTATTAGATATGTAACTCCCATTCTATGTACACTATCATCCAGACCAATGCCATCACCAATTTGCTCTATTTCCGGTCTGACACCCTCATCAAATATGCTGGAATCTGATATTCGTCCTGTTCATCGGATGGTTGAAAGTCAAGGTAGTACTAAGAAAAGGTCTGTGATAAACTATAATAATTGTTATTCATCATTCCTTCTGATTTTGTTAATGGTTGGTTACTTCGTATTTGTGTTTAGAAGTTTTTAGTATCTTTTTTTATTCAGGACTGGCGATTTGCATAAAATAATTTTCAATATCCTTCAAGATGGAGCTATGTTATTCTACTGTACGAGTAGCAAGGTTGGAGAATTGTTACCATATTGTCTTTCTGCTAATTCTTCTTATTTTCTAATATAATATGATCTTTTCCTTTGCAGACAATATTGGAAGGTCAAAAAATGGGAAATGGTATCTTGTGTAGCCACTGTGACGAAGTGGTAAATTTTTGAACTTATTCCTTAAACATATGCCTATGATAATCTAAGATTGAGATGTTATCTTACATAAATAGGTTAGCCCTTCAACGTTTGAAGCTCACGCGGGGTTTGATAAAAGGCGTCAACCGTAAGTAAACAAAAGACAACAGTTCATTATATGACAGATGGTAAAGAAAAATTCTAATTAACTTAAGGTCTTTTGTTAAAATGGATCATCTTAATTGCAGTTATCGTAACATATACACTTCCAGTGGCTCTTCACTTCATGACCTCACACGGTATTTGTCGAAGAACCAAACTTCTGCTTGTATGATTTGTGGAGGTAGAGAAGAGCTGGTTTCTTGTATTAGATGTGCCAAGGCTTTTCATCCAGGTGACGTGTTTGAAGGGGATTTTTGAAACTTTTCTTGATTAATCCATTATATATGTGGTTCCAAGCCCATTACAATTTGATTATTTTACCTTTACTGTTTAATCTTATATTTCATAATGATTTATGTACCACTTTATTACAAACTTATGAATAACAGCAGCAGTTTATTTTCTGATGTACTAGAAATTTGACACGTGCAACTGCACGTGATATGAAAATATGTTGTTTTGTATATTTGTGGTTTTAAAATATGAAAATAATTTTATTTTATTTTTAGAGATTAGAGAGTGCATTCAATAAATATGTACAGAGAGTGACACTGTGACAGTCAAACAATCTTTTAAGTTTTAAGAAAGAATTATCTTTTATATTTTTTATTTGAACTTGAGATCCTCCATTTATTTTCTTATTTTCACTATTTTCTTTATGTATTATATAAATAAATTATGATAGATATATATATAGAGAACCTTGCCTTTTATAATATAAAATAAAATGTAAATAAAACATTCAACTATGTAGGCTCTTTTTTATGCAATTGTATGATATAGAATATTCTAGAAGCAAAAAAGCGAAAAGAAAAGAAAAGAGAAAACATCATTCATTGTAAATTACAATTTTACCCTTTCAATAACAATTGAAAAGGATGATTTGTCCACCACTCATACAATTTTGCACTACCCTTTGTTGGTTTTTTTTATATAGCAGGATAGATATGCCCCTTTATGACCAAAGCTATTTTCAACATTACTCTTCTAGCAATGAGATTCATTCGCACTAAATTCAAGGAACATGCTCAGGTTGAAGATGTTACCCATATCTTCTTAATAAGGGCCCATAAAAACTTTGTCAAGAAGAACCATACTAATTTGAACCTTGGATTTTACACGCTCCCAAATTGAATGGCTATAGAGATGCTTACATTGTACAAGTGGCTATAGGGATGCTTATCTTGTAGAAGGATGTTACTACTTAGTAAAACTACAAAGCTAGATCAAGGTAATATCCTAAAAAATGAGTAGGTACTTAAGCAAACTTGACCCGTTGAAGGGAGAAATTATGATCAAGAACCCGGCTTGGTGCATGGTTGGTTGGTGAACTTGATTCCTCCAATTGGTCCGCTATGGTCTAGGTTTACTTCACATTATTGATACTTAATTCGTTTCTTATATGTACCAAAGCTGGACTTGTCTTTTTTATTACTATTCATTGTATTCAACCACTCTTCTCCCAAAAAACTTCTCCTCTTGTGTTGATGAATTAATTAACCAAATCAAAATTCTCGCCCAACTCCACATTTCTATGAAAACCAATCAATAGGGTTGCTAACTTCTTTTGTATGTTTCTGGCCTTTAAAGTTCAGCACAAGCACACACATTAGAGTTGTACCATGGATGTATAGATGTTAGATTTTCATTTGGTAATTGAAAATGGTAAAGGCTATGCTACCTTGGTACTTATAATCTGAAGATGTTCCTGTACCCAAACTCCTTGCATATATGCATGCATTTACTCCCACATTGTACTCAATTATACAATACATGTTTTAATTTAAAACATGTCATACAATTTGTTGGACATATATCCTACACTTCGCATACACTTCTTGAAACTCATTGGCGTAGGTCAGGTTCTGAATTATGATTTTGAAGTGTTGTTTGGATGCCTAGTTTCAAAACTAGCGATTTCCAATTTATAATCCACATAATAAAAGAAATATAGAAATGTTATAGGAATTTTAATTCTCATCCTTGTTCTCATATAAACTATTAATTCCAATAATATAGGGTATATAAATATTTATATAGTTGTGCCCCCTACCCTACCTTTTTCAAATTTTCCATGTCCCGTACACATACCCGTATCGGTGCCCGCACCCCTACCCGTGCCCATGCAACATAAGGTGAACGTCATAACATGTCCCAATTTTGCGCATTAACTGCTAAAGCCTTCTCTTTGTAGGGCATAGATGGAACCATTGCACAAAGTCAGAGGTATCACATGTTCCAACTTGATAACTGTTTCTTCTAACCCAGGATGCCAGCATTGTGTATGCAATTTTTGCACCCTAAGGAACATGCTACGAAGTGGAACATATCATGGTCTTTGATGCAAGTCCATTCAAATATTGATGTTCACACTAAGCAAGCATGAATGATATGGATAGGTAACATAGTATGTTTTTTCTTCACGGTCTAGTGTTTGTATACTGATATAAACTTGTTATCTATATGCAGATTTTGGATGTTCTTTGTTAAGATTAAGATAAAGGAGAGTGCATATATTTTCTAAATAAATGTTAAATAAGAGTTTTATCTTAACTTCAAATATATGTTTCTTACTTAAAATATTGCATCACTACAACCCGTATTCGATCCAAATGCACCTCAACATAGTTCATTCGTACTCTCTGTTCATTTCGGAAATTGACTAGTGACTGATAGAGATAAGTGCATCTCTTTACATTAAGATTACAACGCACATTAATGTCTTTTGGAAAATTATAGAAAATCTACCCATGAGCTTCCTTACGATTCATAACTATGTAGGGTTTCTGTTGTTAAATGATTTGTTTCAGTATGTTTTCTTACATGTCCAATGTTCATCCGTTCCCTTAGCCCCGATATGTTGTTTAAAGATATTATTGAGATGAAACCTTCCAACTTTCGGGTCATGTATGTCATTTCTAACTGGTCGTTCTTTAGATTTAAAGTTATTGTTTTCTTTTCTATGTTAGGAGATGCATGTTTTCTCTGTTGATAACTGATTTTTATAGTTTGGGCATTGTAGTGTTGTATCTAATATTTTGTGTTAGGCAGTTTGCTGACGTGTTGAAATTTTGAATCATTATTTGGTACTGTAACTTAAAGTAAAAGTGCTCCATTCTGAAAATATGTCACTTGCTAATTCTGGTCTCCATCCTTTGCCTCTAATGCAGGATGCTACACTCCTGATGCTGATAGTGCATCATGCTGTTTATCTTGTAAAGATAATTCTGAACCTGAAACAACCTCTAAAGTACAATCTCATGCTGTGCCCAAGCCATTTAATTTTGGTCTAAAACGTGTGATAAAGCACCCAAAAGACGTTGGCTGTGCCCTATGCGGGTAGGGTTTTAAATGCCAAGGTTTCACTTGTTGAGCTAGTGATATTTGGATGACTTTAAGAAGTCCTCTTCTCCATTGTTTTTGTTTGAAGCTACATTATCTTTTCCATATTTTTATGCTACTGTACAGGGACAGTTCCTTTGAAATGGGGAAAGAATTTGGATCTAAATCATTTGTCTTTTGTGGTCAGGTGTGCATTTTCGATTTGCTTCTTTTGAGTTATAAAGGTTCATGCAATTCTTTTATACTTACCATGATTTATTTTGTGTTCTTTTCCTAGTGTGAGAAATTGTATCATGTCGGTTGCTTAAAAGATCAGGGCATATGCGATCTACAGGTAGGAAGCAGATGAATCTCCTCTTCTGTTTCTAAATCCTAGCAGATTTCACAAACAATAGTCATGTACTACTATCAACAAAACACACTTCTGATACAGGAACGACCCTTGCCATGGTTTAGTTGGTTATGTTCTATAGAATGTCAAGAAGTTCACAACGATCTACGACAAATGGTCTTGACTTCACCTCATGAAATTCATGCATCAACACTGAGTTTATTAAAGAAGACTGAAGAGGATTTAATTAGTGAAGGTGAACCTAAAGTGAACTGGCAACTTCTGAGTGGTGCACATAAGACTTGTGACAATGAGATGCTCTTTTCAAAGGCAACTGCAATTTTTCAGGTAAAACTTTGTCTGAGCGATTAAATTTCTCTGGACTTTTAAGTTTATTTTCAAGAATGAGTTTTGGCTTAAAAGCATTCTTACTTCTGAATGATGATGTAAATGCACTTTGACTATAGTAGTAATAATGAGTTTTTCTTTCCTTGTTTTTGCCCTCGATCAATGTGATATTTTGAAAGGAAATATCCTTCAACTTTGTTGCTGTCCCTCCAACCCAACCCAAAAAAAAATAAAATAAATAAATAAGTAGTAGTAGTAATAATAATAATAAGTGAATATACAAAATACAATAAAAATGTTAAAGTTCTGATCTTTCTTTTTGTGTGTTTTGGTTCTGACTAGTGCTCAATATGTTATCTATTTTCACGAGGAAGAAAAGGCAGTGGATGTTGGTGACGCTATATTCTGCAGTCTGTTGCAGAATAAAAGGATTTCTTTGAAGCTTCGGCTTTTAATTTCTGGTTCCCCTCTAGAATATCCAAGCAACACCTCTGTAGTTATGTCTTCGTCTTAACTCTAAGAGTGTGTTTGGTTGTGTTAGGTGGAGCAACATGGAAGCCCATGTTGTTCCAACTACATCAAAAATCCAGAGACCTTGTTTGATTAGATGTTGTTGCAACACCAAAAGGTTGCCGCAACAACAAACTAAGCCAAAAACAGGAGTGTTGAAAGCCAAAAACAGGAGTGTTGAAACAACCCTCAATTTTAAGAGTGTTCCAACGCCATGTGTTGAAAGAACATGGTGTTGTAAAAGTATTTGTCGTTTCAACTTCACCCAACGAGGCACACCCTAAAATGGGGTTATGTAGCTTGTTCCTCTTACTAGGTAACACTTTGGATAGTGTTGTCAGGAAAGTTTTTGCTTGATTTATAGTATTCTATTTTTTTTTGACAATTTTCTCATGAAAAAAAATTTGTGTCAATTTGTATCATCTTTCCATGCTCATGGATTTGCGTATGGATCCTAGAAGGCTCGTTATGGTTAAAGTTAGCAAGAAAAGTGGGGGAAAAGGGCTAAAGCTGTAGCAAAATAGTACAATTTCTCTCCATTAGGCTTAATTATCAATTGCTAGTATGGTATCCCATTCCAGGCTTTTGGGTCTTTGCTTTATGTAAAGCAATAGGTTCTGTAGTTAGACCTTATTAACAAAATTGAGTCATCAATTATGCATCATTAATAGAATTCTAAAATTTTAGTTTCAGAGTTATTGAATTTTGAATGTCATACGATATATTGGAGAGGTTTAATTCTACCAGTTTCTTCTACTTGGCAGATTAGGCATGGATAATATGTGGAATGTTGGATATTTCTTATTGGTATAATTATCTTTTCAATTTTTAACCATTGACTACTGTTTTCAGGAAACATTTGGCCCTATACTTGAGAATGGCTACAATCTGATACCTGCTATGGTTGAAGGGTAAAGTCTTACCTAAATTTTACATGAGACTCAAAACACATTGCATTTATCATGTTGCCCACTTACAGAAATATATTTGATTTGGTTCTTTTTTCACAGTCAAGAGATGGCTAAACAATATTATGGGGGGATGTATTGTGCAGTTATAACTGAAAAGTAAGAAAATATTACTCTGTGCAGAAGTGCTGTTAACATTTTGCTTATTTTGATTTCATATACTTCGATTTTCTTTGGAAATTTCTCAAATACTTTGTTTCTCTTATCAAATAAATAATTGAATTTTGTTCCTTTCTATTTGTTGAGCACTCTTTACACAAATGATGTACATGTTTCATCGTCCAACTGAGTAGCGGGTTGTGGAATATCTTGTTTTCCTTTTTGCCATCAGAGTTACTAAAATTCAGAAATATATACAAATCAAGTAGCTTATTGATAATAACTTTTGTGAGTGGTGACTGTAGGTCTGAAGTTGTATCAGCTGGACTTATCAGGATATTTGGTCGCAATGTTGCAGAACTTCCTTTGATTGCGACGCGTAATGAATGCCAAGGAAAGGTGAGGCACTCAATCTTTTAAACAAGATATTCCGCCAATGATGTGTCTCGTTCTCAACCAAGTGAATAAAGGGGAGAGAGAAACCCTATTTTGAACACCTGATTGAAATTGAGCCATGTCATTGTATATGAGGAAATTCCTTCATGACATATGATACTTATTAACCTCAACCTTTTTTTCATAGAAATTGCTTAGTGTACAATAAGAGTTGCACTACTCTTGTACTACTACACACAATGAAGTGGGACTCTCGTAATTTCTTTTTTCCATTTACAATAAAGGGTCCCACTTCTTTGTATATAGTAGTACAAGAGTAATATGACCCTTGCAGTATTACATTTAGGTTTGAATGATAGATTTGCTTATAATCTGGGACTAAAACTGTTAGATTGCAGGGATGCTACTGAATTATTGTCTGATTACTAGTGTTGATCTACTATACTTGTTACTGAGGACCTCTGGTCATCATATTTTGTATGTTAGTAGTGCAATAGCGCATTGTTTTGTGTGACGAGCACTTTAATTTCAAACTTGTGAATTCCTGATTAGTGATGTGGGGTCAACAATATTAGCTGATATTATTGAAAGCATTATAATAATACCATGATTTCTATGATTTTGCAGGGTTACTTTCAAGCTCTTCTTTCGATAATCGAACAGTTGATGATCAGGTTAAAAGTGAAGTGTCTTGTACTACCAACAGATGAATTTGCACAATCAATTTGGATAAATAAGTTTGGGTTTATCAAAATGGCACAGGAGAGGGTAAATTCTTATTACTAGTTTGATCATTAATGCTTCTATTCATTCTGCTTCCTTACTAATCATGAAATACTCCGCTGAACGAAATGACGCCCAGAACCAGAGAAAAGAACTAGGCAACCACTTCATGAAGTAGGTGCATTTATAATAAAAAAAACACGCGCACTAAAGGATCCTAGTTTTAAGAAAGTTCTATTTGCAATTGAACACCTATAACTAATTTCTAGAAGCAAGTGTTGTTTAATCTCCAGGCTTGCTGAATAATAGTGTTGGATCTTTAGGTATGAAATGCTCAGTTCTTCTGGAAAAAAAAAAAACTCTATATAATTTTAGTTGATGTGTAAATGAATCAGTGTTATATATTTTTTATACTTGCGTTTTTAAATCCAAAGATTATATTAGTGATACATGGATCTGTTGTGTGCAGGTGAAGCAGTATGCAGACAACCACTGGATACTAATGTTCAAGAAGAAAATCATGTTGGAGAAAGCATTGCGTCAATCCCAAAGTTGATGGAAATGCAAAGATAATGTGAAATATTAACCTTATATTATTGCTACTTTTCCCTGGATGATACTGTGCACTGGTATTTATGATAACTCTCCCAACGGACAAGGGGCATTTTAACTGGTTAATATTTACTTACAAAAAAAGTAAAGGATTTTGCTGTTACAATTTGTATAATTCTTTTGTTCTTTTTCCATGTAAATAATGAATATTCTCTGTGATTCTTGGAAAACTAATGGGAGAACAGATTATTATATTAGTATTTAGTACTACTATGGGAAATTTGAATCATTATTGTGTTGAAATGTTGGTTAGAGATTATGTTTGCAACCCTCTGCCCGTTGAATTGATAGTTAATTTGCTATTCTCATTTGAAGGAAATGGTAGGGAATTTGACTGATTAGAAGATCAATAGAGGGGTAGGGAATTTGACTGATTAGAAGATCAATAGAGTAGTCGGAATGTATTATTTTAATTTATATCCATATTGTAGAAGGAGTTTTGTAGATTCTTCTCGCCTTTAACACGGAATCTCCATCATCATGGGAAAACACTAGATTATATAAAAGTCAAATAAATTTCCAAAAAAGACCCAAATTAAACTTTTTTTTTTAAAAAATCAACCCACTCCAGTTTCTATTATAGAAATTTACCCAGTTTCTGCTCATGTCATTGATATGGCTAAAAACCGGGTCGATTTAAAAAAAACCGGCTTCCTAATTAGTCGGGGTTGGTAACCCCGACTAATTAGAACTGCTCATCGCCACATTCGGGGTTAGGCCATCTAAAGAAATCGGGTTGCGAACCCCGACTAATTTGGTCGTGGTTCCCACCGTTTGGGTTGAGTTGCCTTGCCCCGTACAAAATGGTCGAGGTTCGCAACCCCAACCATTTGGCAGCACCAGCAGTTGTCCAAGTTTAAATGGTCGGGGTTCCCAACCTCGACCATTTAACAAAGTCTCCCCAACCCCGAAGACGGGGAAGCAGCTAAGTGACTAAATAATTAATGTTGTCAACTCTGATTATTTGGTGAGCCCCCCCTCCCCCCGACTATATATATGAACCGCACCCATTCTTGCACTAAGTTCTCGATTTTTCTCTCTTTAGCTCTGGTCTCTCCCGTTCTTTGGACTAAGAGGTTCTCCCAACCCCATTTTGTGGCCCAAATTCATCGTAAAAGTTTACTTAAGATCTCTAAGGTAATTTCTCTGTGTTCTCTCCTCTTTTAACATGTAAAAATCTAGGGGTTTTTTCTTTTTTTTAACATTCAAAGATAGGGTTTTCATCAAAACCCAATTTCTAGGGTTTAAAATTTAATACCAATCACTCTGTGGTGGTTCGAATGCTTTGTGTGTTGATTGTTGTAATTGAAATTAAATTTCTAGGGGATAGAATGCTCATTTCTAGGGTTTAGGGTTTTTGATCAAAATTATATGAGATTATTTGCATATATGGTTTCCCTCTCATATTCAATGACTTGATAAAACTTTTTTAAATTTTTTGCATTTAAATGATATAATCTTCTTTTGTATAGGTTAAACAATATGATTCTTATTGCTTGTTTTTATGGTGAAAAAAAATTAATTTTATGGAATGAATAACATGCCAAAGTACGTCGGAGGGGTCACAACGCCGTTAATGATCTCGGAATCATATACTTACTGTGACTTGATTAAGGAATTACACCGAGTTATAGAATTGACCCACGAGAGTACCGACTAAAAAAAATATGTAATTGACCTATAACTTTTTATAGAACATCCGCAGTTAAGATCTCAAACGATCATCATATAAGCATCATGTTTTATTTGAGCAAGTCACAACTAAAGGTAGAATTGTTTATTGAAAAGTTTCCATGTAATTCGTGCCAAATATTCAAACCTCCAGGAGAATTCTCATACATATTAGATTTGGGAGTTGAGTCTGAAGGTTTTCTTTCTTCTTCAAGTGAAATGGAGCAGACTCAATTTTAATATTTAAGTGCACCTTCATTTGGGGGAACGTCAAATGTTATGAACAATGAAGCTCTTTATAAAAATATGAGGTCGTTAAGAGAGGCAACAATTGAAGAGGATGAAAGAAGCAACGACTCTGAAGGTGAAGAGCAAGATAGTGCACCAATTGATAACATGAAATTTATGACTAAAGATGTTGAAGAGAATCTAGAATGGCCTAATAAGGCTTATGTTAATAATGAATATGTTGAGTATGAAGAGCCACCCCCCGACGAGTTTGAAGATGATGAGTGAATTCGTTCTTCCATAGTACAAGATATGTGCATTAGCCAAAGTTCAACTTGTAGAAGAGATGATGACTTTACTTTTAAAGTTAGAGATTTATTCGTGACTAAGGACTAATTGGTTGATGCTATTCGTGATTATTCTATCAAAAAGAATGTTAAATTCAGGCAAGTTAAAATCAATCGCACAAGTTATGATGCAATTTATTTTATGAATACACAAAGAAAAGGTCAAGCCAAGGGAAATGAAGCTGATTACACATGTCATTGGAAGTTATATGCATTTGTCGGAAAGAAACACAATGAGCATTTTAGGATCACAGAATACTGTGATGTTCACACATGTAGCAATTTGACATTAGAGAAAGATCATCGTGGTGCATCTACCTCTTACATAGCGCAGTTGATGATGCTAAAATTAAAGAAGAAGCTTAAACTAGCTCCCGATATTATAATTGATAGAGTGCTAGATATGAAGTTCATTGAAATATCATACAATAAAGCATGGAATGCGATGAGAATTGCGATGACTAAAATATTTGCTGATTGGGAGAAGTCTTACGCGACACTTCCTCAATATCTTGATACGATCAAAAGAAGCAATCCTGGATCTAAACACAAACTCATAACCAAAGAGATCAATACATGAGTTCATCAATTCACCTCTGTATTTTGGGCATTTGGTCATTCGATCGAGAGATTTAAATTTTGTCGGCCGGTTCTTAGCATTGATGACACACACTTATATGGTAAATATAAAGGTGTATTGATGACACACACCGTGAAGATAGACTTAGGGAGGTAAATTATATTTTTATTATTTTCAATCATTTTAAAATTTCAAAGTTATTACTTCTACTTATCATTTAAACTATTTCATATATGCATGCCCCGAGTATTACTAGTATTGATCATACTCGTACATATTTGAATTGGGATTTGATGGATCCATGGTCTAGTATTATGTTTGTCAAGTAGGCTTTTTTTGAATGTTCACAAATCAAATGGATAAGACTCGATTAGCCTCTCTTGATGACATGGATTGAACGATGGAGGTCCGAGACAAATACATTCTACATGCGTCAAGGAGAGTCGACTATTACTTTGTAGGATGTAGGGGTTTTACTTGGCCTCAAAGTGGATGGAGATGCTGTTACGGGTAGGGGTGGGCAAAAACCGAAAAAAACCGGTTCAACCGAAAAAACCGCCCGAAAAAGCGGGCCGGTTAACCGAACCGAATTAAATGGATGAGAAGAAGACTCTAAACCGCCCGAACCGAATTAAACCGGTTTGGATCCGGTTTGAACCCCTGAACCGCCCGAAAAAAAACCGAACCGAATTTTCTAATTCGTTCTTTGTCGGATATTCATATTGCTCAAAATGGGAAGGACTTCGTCGTTCGGAATTCGGTCAAAATGGAAAGGACTTTTGGTTCGGACGAAGTCGGATGGAATAGCTTTCTTATTAGTGAGTCATCACTTGAACATTAAGCTATATAATTGCACGGTAATTTGATTGTTATGTTTACATACATGTTTATATTGTATAGTTCCTTTTTTCGTTGGGCCTGCTAGTGTATATGCCCGCATTAAAATCGGTGAAACCTCATATAAGCTTTCAAATTCTACTAGAGGCATGTTAAGTTGTTTTCCAAGAAATGAAAGATAACCTTTTGATTATAGTTAATTAATATTTGAATGTTACGTAACCATATGTAATTGTTGATATGGTTTGCGCTCATTTCACTAATTTCGGTTTTTTGTTAGTTGTGGCAATGGTGTTACTTCAAACAAGCTCCACATTTCATTGTTTGGGGGAAAAAGTTAAGTAGACAAAATGGACAAATAATGATACTTCATCAGAAATTAATAGGCAATGATCTCAGGTGTGGGCAGATTTTTGTGAAATAGTATTAATTCGGTCCAAAACCGAAACCGATCCGAACCGATCCGAATTTCGGTTGGGCCGAATATTCGGATAAAGGGAAAAAAATCTGGATCTGGATGAGAGTTTTGAGAATTCGAAAAATTCGGATTGGATGCGGATTGAGCTTAAAACCGATCCGAACCGAATATGCCCAGCCCTAGTTACGGGTATCGATGACTTCAACTGGATAGGAGTGTGTGAACGATTGTTGGGTCAAGCTCCTACTATGAAGGGTGGTAAGATCAAGCTCGAGTGGTTACAAAATAATTATATGAATGTACCGATCGATGCAACTAATGAGATCGTCAAGAGCTATATCCATGTAAAAAAATCCATATGATCAGTACCATTCTATTTCTGGATTCAACTAAGGATTCGGTGCATGTTAGATGGTTGCCACTTCTTGAGGATCTTAAGGAGTGTGGAGAATTATCTTGGGGGAGTGTAGTGTTAGCCTATCTCTATAGGAAGATGACAAAAGTGGCATTCGTGCAAAATAAAGAATTTAAAGGTTGCCTCACTTTATTGCAAATATGGTCATAGGAGCGATGGCATTTGGGAACACCAAATTTGAGGGAGACCCGCGCTCTCGATGGTTAGATTCTGTTAGGATGTAGATATATTAGTTTGTAATAGATATGATTACATGTAATTTTATACATTTATTTTAATCTACACTAAACTTTTGTATATCAAATAATTGGAATATTTCTAGATAATGGCATACCTCCCCAAAGGGTAATGAAAACTTTTATAGGAACGAGCTTGATCAATGGAGGATGAACATGTATAAAATCATAATATCCAACTATATTCTATCAATACATCATATATTACCGATATGTAAATTTACGTAATTTTCTTTATAGGTCAAGTGGATGCCCTATGAACTGGTTTTAGCTTCACTGCCCGATATTTATAGAGATGGTAAAGATATATGGCATGCCTGAGTACCGATTATATGCTTTAAGATTGTCAAAATGCACGTGCTCGATCATGTGCTCCGACAATTTGGATTAAAATAATATATTCTATATCCCGTAGAAAGAATAGAGGGAAATCCTCGAAAAGGAGCACATCATCAAAATTGGAAGATAATTCGTCATGCTTACATTGGGAATTGGGAGTTGAGGGAGGATGTTGTAGTGATGGAGTGGGCTAACGCACCAAAACTAGATGTGTACTTGCGTTGGTATTGAGGGATTACTCGCCGATGGATATTTCGGGAGAACAAAACACCTAAGGAGTACATACCGAGAGGTCCAGTTAAGAGAGAGTTAGTAAGTGTACAGGCAAAATATACAATTATTTCACGATTATTATTTTTATTATCATCCAATTGCTAATAATTCACTTTCGCTTTCTTATCTTATAGATACAAGAACTCGATGAGGTTGCTTCTATTGCACATGATGCATTGAGATTGACTACCGAGCCAGTGGTGAGGAACGCTTTTGTTCGCATCATAGGAAAGATTCAGTCCGCTCTTAGAAAGACGCGTCATGCAAATCGTGATGGACGTGAGGAAAGACTCATAGGGTAGGAGCGTCGACGGGTCTGAGGACACACGAGAGCAGACTCAAGTTGTGCACATGATGAAGCGTGAGTCTCACACTAGGCTCAAGCCTGATGTTCACAGCAGGTTCAAGTTGACGAGGATGTCATGTGCTCACAAGTTCACACACAACCGGACTATGAGATCATCCAAGCTCATGTTGAAGGCGAACGGGGAAGGGGGAGAGGAAGAAGAGGAAGAGCAAGAGGGAGAGGGAGAGGAAGAGCAAGAGGAAAGAGAGTTCTAAATATTTGCTAAATTTTGATATACTCTATATGATGTTTATGTTTGAAATGCTATGATGTTTATATTTGAAATGCTATGACTTGATTATGGTCGGATTTTTAGTAAGTGAATTACATGTTATGTTTTTGTTAGAGATTGGTTATAGATGTAATAATTATATAAAGATATGTGTTTACTTGTGATTGAAATTGATTATGGATTGATATGTGTAGCAAGAGAGTTTGTGTTTAAACTTGACGGAGACGAGATTTTCCAGCAAGTATGTGGGCTGGAGGGTCTCTGCCAAATAAACGGGGTTGAGAACCTCAACCATTTCGTGCACGCTGTGCATGCTCTGCTAAATGGTCGGGGTTCCCAACCCCGACCATTTTGTGCGGGGCAATCCTAAACGGTCAGGGTTGGGAACCCCGACCAAATTAGTCGGGGCTCACAACCCTAACTTGTTTAGGAGGCCTAACCCCGGATGTGGCGATGAGAAGTTCTAATTAGTCGGGGTTGCCAACTCCGACTAATTAAGAAGCCGATTTTTTTTAAATCGACCCAATTTCTGGTCATGATGCTGACGTGGCCAGAAACCAAGTCGATTTTTGTAATAAAAACTAGAGTGGATCGATTTTTGAAAAAAAGTTTGGTTTAGGGATTTTCGAAAATTTATTCTATAAAGGTTATCTAAATTTTCTATATTTGTCGTACAATAACTAAAAGTTCAGAATTTGAATACTAAAAAGTATATAATTGTATGTCTACGGCACTCTTAAAACTAGCATTAGAGGCATTATAGATTCAACATATCTCAACAATTTAAACAACCTAAAATCTGTACATAATTATCAAGAACTTCAAACTTTCAAAACTAGAATTTTGAACTCCTCTTACATGAAACTTCCTAACCTTCAAACTCAAAAGAAGGAACAACCACAACAGAGGAGTAAACCCTACTCCCACCCGATGAAACCCCCGAAACCTCTTCTCTCTTCTTTCCATGATCAGAACACACCAGCGTTTCATGAACACATGAACTCAGCTCCTCATGCTGCATAAGCTGATGAAGCCTAGAATTCCTCAATGAAACCTGATAATTATTGCTTTCACCCATCGAAGCGAAATTAGTCTTTGCATTATTACCTCTTAATATCCTCGCCGCTAAGTCATAAGCCATGGCAGCCTCCTCTGGTCTGTTGAAGGTCCCCAGCCATAATCGGAGCTTTTGAGACGAAACTTTTATTTCAGCCACCCATCTCCCTGAAGTCCTTTGCCTTACACCAAGAAACTTTTTCTTCTTGTTATTGCTTTTCCCAATATCCATCGTTGGAGAGGGAGAGATAATCGACGTGTTCTTATAATGTCGATATCGTGATAATGGTGCGTTTGTTCTCTGGTTGATATCTTATTATTCTCTGTAGTAGTTTAATGTGGCATATTCTTCTTCCTTAGATACGTACAAGATGCATGATTAAACTAAATGGACATCATGGAAATTTTATTTTGTGTAACTAATCATTGAGTAATGGATTTGCAACTGTAGTGAGAATTCAAGTTCAGTTTGGACAGGTGATGATGGCCAAATGTTGGTAGATAAAAAATTCACCGTGAACATGGCATGATATGGTTCCAGTGATGCTAAATTAGATTTGGGAATTTATGAATAGTTTGATACTTAACTTCATAGTAATAATATTTTTTGGAGTGAAGTTTTGGGACTTAATTAGAGACTGAGGCATACTCATCAATAATTTTTAGCATTCTCCCTCAGGTTTTATCTGTCAGTTTGTAACGAAACATCCCCTAAGTAATGATGATGACGCTAGTGCTCACATGATTTCATTCTTATCCAAAAGATAGTTCCTAATTTTACCAGGGATGAAACCTTGTATATTATTTTGCAATATATATTATTTTCAGGAAAAAAATGAGCTAAGGAAGCATTCTCATTAAAAAAAATCTAGTGTGTTCAAGATAAACTAGGATATCTTAGACATAAGAGCATGGCAGAGAATGGGTGTAGACCCAAACCTGCAAACGGCGAGCTCGAGCGAAGGCGGTGTTTGTGGAAAAATTCGATGTAAAAGAAATGAAAGAAAAAATTGATTTGTATTCTCTCAAAATCGATTACAATTTGGATTCCGATTACAAAAGAGAGGAGAATGAATCTGGATTCTCCCCTTTGTTTAATTCTGGGTTCTTCACGGTGGCGATGGAGTGCTTTATTCGAATGCTTGCGTCGAACTTGCTCTCCGTTGACGATCCGATATCTTGTTTCACTAGAACGTGGTCTTCTCCTCACGATTTGACATTGTGGAGAACTCTGAACGAGTTTAAAACTCTATGAAAGAGTTGATTTAACCGAAAGTCGGTTATAAGCCAAGGATGAAGAAGATCTTGTTGCCGATCTCCAAAGTTCCAACCGAAGGATGAATGATCCTCTTTTTGCTGCCAAGAAGTTCCAACCGACCCCACCCTGAACTGAATTGATTTTCAGTTATTTATAGGGGATTAAGGGGTGTAACCACCTCCTTAATTCGCTCCTAAGTGGGGCTAACGGGATGTAACCGCCCCCTTAAATCACTCCTGAGTGGAGTTGTGATCCCCTCAGATCGTGGGAAACGGTTTTGAAACCGTTCAGCTCGTGTTTGAACGAGTCAAACGCAAATCCTGCATTCTGGAATGAAATATGCGTTTGAACGCAGCGTCTGGAGGCGCGTCCTGCAGCGATATGCAGCTGCGTTTGCAGCGTTGTAAAGCTGTGTTTTGCAGTGATGTAAAGCTGTGTTTGCAACGTTGTAAAGCTGCGTTTTGCAGCGATGTGAAGCTGCGTTCTGCAGCGATGTAGAGCTGCGTTCTTCGATGTTTAAAGGTGCGTCTGGCAGCGATTAGAGCTGCGTTTGGCGGCGATTAGAGCTGCGTTTGGCGGCGATTAGAGCTGCGTTTGGTGGCGATTTGAGCTGCGTCTGGCAGCGATTAGAGCTGCGTTTGGCAGCGATATGGAAGCTGCATTGGCGGCCGAATCTGAGCTGCGTTTGCAGCTTTTGGAGCTGCGTTTGCAACTTTTGGAGCTGCATTTGAGCTGCGTTCGTGGATATAAATACGGCGCATCTTGATGCTGGTACGCGGGGAGGACTTCCACGTCTTGATTTGAAGAGACCGTCGATTTGTAGTCTCTTTCTATCGAAGTTTTGCAAAGATCGTCATTTTGTAATCTTTACTTTAGCTCTTTGATATGCAAGAGTCGTCAGATTGTAACTCTCGATGTTGATTGTGAAGGCTGTTAAACTAGAGCTCTCATCGGTTGTCGTGAAGGTCGTCAGATTGTAACCTTCAGCGATCTACGTGAAAGTCTTCAAATTGTAGCCTTCTGGAAGTCGTCAGATTGTAACTTCCATCATCGGTGTTTGATGGGGATCAGCTATCTATTGTGATTTTTAGACAGCCTACAGAACCCCCTCCAAAGTTTTCGAAAGTTCGCGGTTGACTGGGACGAATTTTCGGAATACTTTGGATCTCAACTCTGATCTTGGAGCTGTTGATTCCTTGTGGTAAAGGATTTGTTCTCTGCACTTGCTTCGAAGGCATCTTGGTTGAAGGGATTTGCACGTAGGACCTGTGTAAAGGTATGCGCCATAATCCTGCTTCTGGACTGTGGGGGTGGACCCTGCATTTTGAATTTGGAACACGGGTGTGACCTCGGCGTTCGGTTTTTGCATCGCGGGTCTGACCTCAACGTTTTGACTTAAGACATGGAAGTGGCTTCCGTGCATTTTTGACTAAGTCTTTGAGACTTGTCTTTGGCTCATCTGTTTTAAGTCTCGGCTCACATCCATTAAGCTGATGGACCTGCAAACGTGCATAGGATTGCAACGCGTATTAGGCGTAGGCTTATCCCTACTTAGGATTTGAGATAAAATCCCCCATGCGTGTAAGACATGGATTTTTGGTGCTACGATGTTGAATACGTAGACTTTGCCACTGTTTCTTCCTGTGTTATATTTTCACTTGAAACACTGAAAGAAAATTAGAAGTGCCAGAGGTGTAGTATTAACTTGGCGTGAATTTTCATCACTGGGGATTTTATAATGAAAGCTTGCTATTCTTGTTGAAAAAGGATTAACAAGTTCATTGAGGGGTTTTACTGTTAGAGGTGTTATGTTAACCTAACAGTATTTTTATAGACCTATCGCTCCATTGACGAGAGTCGATAAGTGAAAAGTGTTGCGATCGGAGCAACTTTGAGGACCTATCGCTCTATTGACGAGAGTCGATAAGTTGATTTTGTCAGAGGTGTTTGATATTAACGTGACAAGAGAATGTTGCGATCGGAGCAACTTTGTGGACTTATCATCCTATTGATGAGGATTGATAAGTGGGTTTTTGTCAGAGGTGTGATGTTAACGTGACAAGATTGTGTTGCGATCGGAGCAACTTTGAGGACCTATCGCTCTATTGACGAGAGTCGATAAGTTGATTTTGTCAGAGGTGTTTGATATTAACGTGATAAGATTTGTGTTGCGATTGGAGCAACTTTAAGGACTTATCATCCTATTGAAGAGGATTGATAAGTTGATTTTGCCAGAGGTTTAGTGTTAACGTGACAGGATTTTGTTGCGATCGGAGCAACTTTGAGGACTTATCATCCTATTGAAGAGGATTGATAAGTTAATTTTGCTAGAGGTTTAGTGTTAACGTGACAGGATTTTGTTGCGATCGGAGCAACTTTGAGGACTTATCATCCTATTGAAGAGGATTGATAAGTTGATTTTGTCAGAGGTGTGATATTAACATGACGGAAATTTATGTTGCGATGAGAGCAACTTTATGGACTTATCATCCTATTGACGAGGATTGATAAGTGGATTGTCAGAGAGGTGTGATATTAACATGACAGAATTTGTGTTGCGATTGGAGCAACTTTGTGGACTTATCATCCTATTGAAGATGATTGCTAAGTGGATTGTCAGAGGTTTGGTGTTAACATGACAGGAATTTGTTGCGATTGGAGCAACTTTGTGGACTTATCATCCTATTGACGAGGATTGATAAGTGAGTTTTGTCAGAGGTTTAGTGTTAACGTGACGGGAATTTGTTGCGATCGGAGCAACTTTGTGGACTTATCATCCTATTGATGAGGATTGATAAGTGGGTTTTGTCAGAGGTTTAGTGTTAACGTGACAGGATTTGTGTACTTGTGATTTGAAAAAGATTTTGGGGACTAGCGTCTCGCTGGGGAGAATTGCTAAGTGAGTTTATCATCAGGAACAATGAGTTTTGATACCTGTGATTTGAATTTGATTTTGAAGACTTAGTGTCTTGCTGGGGAAGATTGCGATTTGAGCAATTTTGAGGACCTATCATCCTATTGAAGAGGATTGATAAGTTGATTGTCAGAGGTGTATTGTTAACGTGACAAGTTGGGAGTGATGCAAACTGAATTCATACTCCGTGGGGGTGATGATCGTCAGAAGTTACTCTTAATCTAGTAGATTCCAAATAACCAACCCCCAGTCTTGATTAAGACTTAGCAGGGGAAGAAAAATAGGGGTAGACATGACATACCGCCTTATGGGGCACTATCCATGAAGTCGGAATAGAAGCACATCACCTGGTAGGCCATTATCTGATGAGTTTGACTATCAGAGGTAACTGTTAACGTGATAGTTTTGTGGACCCGCCATCCTACTTGAAGAGGATTGGTGGGGGAATTTGGAGGAAAAAGACTAATCAGAGGTAACTGTTAACGTGATAGTTTTGTGGACCCGCCATCCTACTTGAAGAGGATTGGTGGGGGAATTTGGAGGAAAAGGACTATCAGAGGTGACGGTTAATGTGATAGTTTTGGTGGACCCGCCATCCTACTTGAAGAGGATTGGTGGGGGAATTTGGAGGAAAAGGACTATCGGAGGTGACGGTTAACGTGATAGTTTTGGTGGACCCATCATCATATTGAAGATGATTGATGGGGGAATTTAGAGGAAAATGACTATCAGAGGTGACGGTTAACGTGATAGTTTTGGTGGACCCATCATCATATTGAAGATGATTAATGAGGGAATTTGGAGAAAATGGACTATCAGAGGTAATTATTAACGTGATAGTTTTGGTGGACCCGGCATCCTACTTGAAGAGGATTGGTGGGAGAATTTGGAAGAAAACAGACTATCAGAGGTGATCATTAACGTGATAGTTTTGGTGGACCCACCATCCTATTTGAAGAGGATTG